AGCAGCTGCAGCTGCCCAGAGGACTCCCAGGTAGAGAGGAGAGGAGGCGGAGGGAACACTCCACAAGGGAGGGTGTTTGAAAAAGAGTGAGAGGCTGCCAACTCTGCAGGCAAGGAGTGACATAACTGGGCTCCTGAGCCCCACAGGGGTGCCACAGAAAGGTCAAGGAAACCATGGACTCAAAAAGGTTGAAAACCTGTGGTATATGGCATCCTGTGCCTGTTCTTTTTTCCTATCCAATCTGCCCCTGTAAAATCACCCAAGCTACTTTCACAGTCTAAAAGCCTTCCTTCACTTTCATACATTTTGCACTGTCAGGATCACCTTCCCAGGATCACAACATATTGAATTACCTCTCACTTGTTCTCCTCATCACCATCAACCAAAATCTCCATCCAGTCTACTGCGTTAACATTACCACACTTTATTGAAAAAGCACCAGAGAAGCCCCACAGCTTAATAATAATAATAAATAACAATAATAATTTATTATTTATATCCCGCCCATCTGGCTGGGTTTCCCCAGCCACTCTGGGCGGCTTCCAACAAAATATTAAAATACAATAGTTCGTCAAACATTAAAAGTTTCCCTAAAGGGGAGACTTTCTCCAAAACATGAATACACCCCGTTTAAGAGTTTTATGACACCTTAAACACCAAGGCCTTATTGTGGCATATGCTTTTCTGGACCAAAGCAGCCTTTCGTCCATAAAAGGTTATAGTAACTCTGTTAACCTTTAAAGCGCCACAAGACTCTTAGTCAGTTACAGCAAACTCGTCAAAGAGCCTCATAGCATTAGCTTTCAGGGACCAGAGTCCACGTTAAGCCTGTTAATCTTTCAAGTCCCACAAGCCTCTTTGTGGCATTTACTGCAACCGACTTACAGATGCAATCTTGTATACACTTGCCTGGCAGCAAGCCCCAGGAAGCGCAATGGGGCGTCCTTTCCTCTCGCAGACTCAGGCTCGTAGCACAAACTTTCACCGGCAAGAGCAACCTTTCATAAGCCCACAAGTGCTTCTTCTACCACAATTACACCACTCTTTCTCATGCTGCCACAACACACTCTTTTTCTTAATGTGCAGGTGTGTGTTTCAAATGTTATTATACGTTAAGTGTTGTGGCACTGCTTATAGATGCCCTCTGCCTTTCCCCAACCCGTCTGCCACACAAACACCCCTCTGGGGAAACTAAGAAACCACATTTTCACCATGCAAACAAGGGCCCCTGCTTAATAATAATAATAATTTATTATTTATACCTCACCCATCTGGCTGGGTTTCCCCAGCCACTCTGGGCGGCTTCCAACAGAAGATTAAAATACAATAGTCTATTAAACATTAAAAGCTTCCCTAAACGCATGTGATGTGCAGAGATGCCCCTAACCTATTCCCACCTAGAGAGCCTCTTAACCCATTTCCATTTAAGCAGCCCCCTACCTAACCTATTCCTGCCTAAAAATTCCCCAAACCCATTCCCGCCTAGAAATCCCCCTCACCCATTCCCACCTAGAGAGCCTGTTAACCCATTCCTGCCTAAAAGCCCCCATACCTATTCATGCATGGAAAGCCCCCTAACCTACTTTCGCCTAAAGAGCCCCTTAACCCATTCCTGCCTAAAAAGCCCCCTAATCTATTCCTGCCTGGAAAGCCCCCTAACCTATTTTCGCCTAGAGAGTCCCTTAACCCATTACCACCTAAACAGCCCCCTAACCTATTCCTGCCTAGAAAGCCCCCATACCTATTCCAGTTACATCCGGGGACTGCACCCCCCTCCCGCCAAAAAGCCCCCTTTCAAGTCTCCCTCACCCAAGAAGCTGCCCTCGCCACAGCGCCCCCTACTGCGGCTCCAGAATTGCCCGCTTCTTACCTGCTCCCCACCGGCTCTCTCTATGCCTCTCGCTCAAAAGCAGGTCACTTACAGACAACACGGCGTCATGACGCACTGACGTCCGCGCCGCGATTCCGGCTCCTGCCTCTCACCACCACTGGCCACTTTCATCTACGCACGCGCCCTCCTCGGGCACGTGGGAGTGTGTATTTGCTGCCGCTCTTGTCGCGGGCGTCGGAAGGCGAGCGTGCGCAGAGAAGAGGAGGCGGAGCTGCCGGGGCTTCATGCCAAAGAGGTACGCATTAAGCGGAGAGGGTTCCACGCGAGCACACCGGTTCTGATTAGACGCCTCCATGCGCTGGATAAGTATTTGCCCAGGAATTTGAGCCGACTTTTAAGGACAGCTTTCTCTAACCTGGATGTTTTTTTCGACGACTCTTGAACAGATGCCCCACCAAACATCTGGAGGGCGCAAGGTTGGAAAAGGCTGTTTAAAAAGAGGCAGGTTACAGAAAGATGTCGAATTGTTTTTGTATGCCACAACTGCAGCAATAATTTTGTTAGCAAAGAATCAGAAAACACAAGAAGTACCAACAGTGGAAGATTGGCAGATGAAGATGATGGATTTTTCGGAGCTAGCTGACCTGACTGGAAGAGTCCCCGATCAGAAGGAGGAGGAGTACCAGGAAGAATGGATGAAATTTAAAGACTACTTAGCTAAATATGTTAAGATAACTTAATTGGAAAAGCATGCAAATACCAAATAAGCTTAGAATTTAAATATGTAAGGATAGGATATAAGATGTTTAAAGCTAAATTAGAAAGAATGAAAGATGTTAAGTGATTAAGTTTTTTTTTAATTGATTTTGGAAAACTGTTAAAATGATATACAATGAAATTCAACCAGGGTGATTTGAGGAAGTCACTTAACAGTGTTATTAAGATTGGTTTAATTGCAATTAGGATGTATGTTTGTTTGTCTTAAAAATTTTTTGGAAAATTAATTGAAAAAATTGAAAAAAAGAGGCAGGTTAGGGTTAGACTGAGGCCCCCTTAGGATGCGTTGCTTCCCAAAAAAATGCAATTGGACCCCACCCCAAAAATGTAGCAAAAAAGTTTGCGAGAGGATGGCTTTTCTCTGGGACGTCTGGCTTTCCGCCTCCCCGACCCCTCTCATACTGCAGTCCTAGTCACGCTTTCCTGGGAGTAAGTCTCATTGAAATCGGTAAGATTCACTTTGGAGTAGGCATGACTAAGTTAACGACTGCAAAGCGTTGTCGTGAAAAAGAACCGATTGCCTGCTTACAGTCTTTGAATGAGTTCTTTTGCATTTCTGCTGTTTGTGCCCCGCCCATGGAGAAGACTGCCAGCTGCAAATCGGAACCAGACGTTTTACCAGGGAACCGTGGAGAGCGCAACTCTTTGTCTGTACAAAGTACCAGGGGACGTCGCTGCAGGGAGAAGCGCCTGGCAAGGAATGGGGAGAAGACCCCTTGGGTAGTTTTGCAGCGGCTCCTGGCGGAAACTTCGATCCAGTACTGCCTCTCAGATATTGCTTTGAGAACTCCACGAGGACTAGCGCCTTGGTTAATCCGTGTAGAGAACAAGATTGCACACTTGACCACTTTATAACTCAAGCCCCATGTATGTTAACTCAAGTCAGTTCAATGGGACTTGCACTCAACTGTCAACAGGGTGAAAATGTAATACACCTTTAGGTGACAGGCAAAGAGGTTCCTTTTCAACCAGGCCTTTGCCTGACTTGATCTACATCATACCCTTATGAAAAACACTGGCTCTTTGGGGTTTTTTTTTAATTGGGTTGTTGGTTTTGTTTTGATTTTATGTATTTGATATTTTATGTGAACCATCCTGAGACCTTCAGGTATAGGGCGGTATATAAAATACATAGACAGACCTGTTAATGGATAGGAGTTATTTCGAAATAATCACACTGGGCGGCGATCTAGCACGATTGCATTACAGGAAGCAGAGTTGTTTTGATGTGGGAAAGTCAGGGTGTCTAATGTGGGCGTTTACCTCCCCTCCCCCCATATTTCAGTCACTAACTTGGTTATGTCCAAATAGCCTAAAAATTCAGCCCTCTAACAAGTGTTTCGCTATTGGCATGCTTGACACCTGTTTAACCATGTCCCGTAAATGCAGAAAGGAGTGTACTTAAATACAAATAAGTTTTGTTAAGCAGCCAGCCCTCAAGGCAGAGCGTGCTTGTGAAAATACAGTACATAACGGAACCCACAACATATACGCATATAATCTGTCACTTTCAATAAAGCAGGCTTTTGAGACACTTTGTGCTGTCATAAGTTACTCAGTGTATCTGCAAGGCTGCAATTTCATTTTGCTGCTGCTTCATTCTATCCAGCACTCCAGTCTTTTGACAGAAGTTTCTACCCAAACCATACATTTACTAAATGCAACACAACAGTGTAGTGAGAAAATATATTTGTAACAGAAATTAGACATATACATGAGTAAGGTTTGAGACTTGGGGACTGCATTTTTCCAGATTAGTTTCCAGGTATGATTGAAGCTTTCACGTTTCTGGATGATCGTCTTTGCAACAGTTGCCCCCATTCTTTAACCACTTCCAATAATTGCCTTCCTCATTTTGGAGAAGTATCGGGGAAAGAATTAATGAGCAAAGTTGGGGAGGGGAGAGAGAAATAAGTCTCAACAGTTTGTTCAGACTTCTCCAGCATCTGAGTAGGAAACCCCATTTGGCTAACTATGCCCAAATCCAAATGTCTCATTTATTAGGGAATTCTGTGCTTTAAAAACTGGTGATTACAGGTAATCATGTACATATTTAAATAGGCTGGTAATTAACAATGTAGATGAAATGGCTTGTATGATATATTTCTCAGGAATTATTTTTTCAGTCTTCAAAGTGCCAGTTAAATATGTTATGTTCACACCTTTGTTACACTAATTACTCTTTTGTGGCTCTTACTAATGCAGTGAAATACTCCTAACTGTCAAGATGTGAGGGAATTTGTGTCTTTAGAAGCCATGCCTAATCTGCAGATAAAAGCTCTTTTGTTTTTATAAGTCAGCACAATCAAATTATTTTTAGAGAATTACATTGCTACAACCAATCTTAAAGAAAAGTTGTAGAGACTTAGTTCCAGAACACCACCACAATGTATACCACTTCATAAAATGTTTATTTAGGATGGTAACACAGGATAAGTCATGCAACAGCTCAGTAAAAAAGGGAATCATGTAAAGTCGATGAAGTATAGTACTTGGTGCTGCTGATTCAGGAATAAGTTTATAAAAAATCACACTCATTGTCCAAAACTGGTACATCTAGAACTGCTTGAAAGCTGAACATGGACATTACTTGTAAAAGTGTTTGTATTAAAAAAAGTTGTAGACAGTTAAAAATTGCCACCTAAAGATTACTTCAATTGGACAACTATCACAGTTTCATCCTTACAGCTGCAACATTAAGGCTGCTGTGAATGAAAGTAGAACTTTATGCACTCAAAAAATGAGGAACCATTTTATCCTGAATGAAAAAATGAAATAAAAATTGTCTGCTGCTAAACCACAAAAGCAAAGAAATCTAGATTAAAAAACCTGCATTGGCACCAAATACTCTCAAGCTGATGTATTCAGAAGGTTAAGAGAGGTATCAGACAATATGCACTGGCAGACACTATAGGAGAATGATTCCTACTTTAAAATGGAGTAATTATAACTAAGGACATTCATGAAATGGTGACATCCTACCGTGAGAATTTTGTCATTTGTAGTTTGATTTCAGTTGACACACTATGTTCAACTTTTTAGGGGGTAAATAAATACAGTGGGATGAAATTTGAAATCAAGAGAGAAGAACGGTTACCATCCATCAGTCAGCACACACCTGTGTGCACCGAAACAAGTCAGTAATTCAAAAAGAATCATTTGAAAATAAGAAGTGTTTGCACTTATTTCTGGTCATAAACAACCCCACAAAACCTCACTTTTGGAACTATTCCAATTGAAACTACACACTGAATTAAATTCACACAGTATTAAGTTTCTTTATGTAAAAAATCTTTATACATAGTAATAAAAAAAGATAAAGGCAAGATGCATCAAACAGAAGTCAGCTGGTTGTTCTCTGGTCCTATACAGCCCACCAATGATTCTTGCAAGAGACGTGGGAGACTGTCTGTTTCAAGCATCTTCACCTTTCGCTTGTGGTAAGGATTGTTCTGTCTAAGCATCCAGGATGGCAGATGCTGGCGATTAGTTTTGGCACTTACGCTGGCAAACTGAGCTTCTTTCCCTTGAGTACTAAAAAAAAGACAAAACAAGGCATTGTTAAATGCATGCATCCAATTATCAACCACCAAAAAACTAATGTTATTCTGTCATGCATCACCAAGATACACTGGTTTGCACCCAAGTAAGTCATATTCAGAGAAGCCCCACTGAAGTAAAGAGGTCTATTCAAAGTATGATGCACTTGGATACAAATTCAGAGGGTTTTATGGAATAATATGAACAAAGCATATACAGTGGTACCTCGGTTTATGAACTTAATCCGTTCCAGAAGTCCGTTCTTAAACCAAAACCGTTCTTAAACCAAGACGCGCTTTCCCTAACGAGGCCTCCCGCCGCCGGTGCCCTTCCACCGTTCGGATTCCGTTCTCAGACCAAGGTAAAGTTGTCAAACGAAGACACTCTTTCCAGTTTTGCAGAGTTTGTAAACCAAATTGTTCTTAAACCGGACTGTTCTTAAACCGAGGTACCACTGTACCATCTTCTTTGATGTATTCCACCTTGCATTTTTATGCAGTTTATAAATATTTAACGAAATAAACAAAAAAGGAAGCTTGCTACCCCCAGGAGACAAAAAGGTAAAGGGGGAGATATGGTGAGAAACAGTGACTTTTAATATTAGTAGAATTTGTGAAAATTAATCTCTAGCCTTTTATTATTTTATAGGCATTTGTAGCCTGCATTTCACCATGCAATCCCAAAGCTGGTTATATACAGCTCAATACAATTAAACCATGTCACAATGTGCAACCCAAAGACCTATGCAAAAAGGTGACAAGGCGAAACAGACCTCGGAGGGCATGTCTGGGGCCACCACTGAAAAGGCTTTCTCATGCACTGCTGCCTAACAAACTACATATGGCAGCAGATCCACAAAGAGGACCTTCCCTGCAAATCTCAACACTGTGGCAGGCCTATATGGGAAGAGGTGCTACCTCTGATATTTTATAATGTTTAAACTCTGATATTCAATACAGTACAGTAGAACCCCGTGTTATGTACTGTCCTCCTTGCAAATGCTTTGGGTTACGAGCTCCGCTAACCCAGAAGTAGATGCTCACAGTTGCAAACTTTGCCCTGGTATGCAAGCGGAAGTCGCGTAGCAGTGGGAGGCGCCATTAGTGAAAGCACGCCTCATATTACAAGCGGTTTCAGCTTAAGAATGGACCTCTGGAATGAATTAAGTTCGTAACTGGAGGTACCACTGTAGAAGAATTCCAAAGCAAACTTAAAATACATTTGCTTTGCTTATATTGGGCTGGTAATGCAGACTGCTGAGCCAGGGGCAAGATAAGGAAGAGGTGACAATACTGGATGAACTGCGCCACATTCATACAGGACTGAGCTTTGAAGGCCCACTGGGTTCACTTACTCTCCCCTTGTGTGTAACAATTCCACCCTTTCTGGTTTGCAGCAAAGCTCAGCTTGCCACTCAGCCACTGTGTTTGCACGTCACTTGTGCCTAACTATGGCTTTTGCTTGCCCTGCAAACCAGGACCAAAACCCACATTTCAATCCATTCTCATGTTGTTTCGCAGATAATGCTTTGTTATAAATATACTCAGATCTTGGCTGCATTTGACTCTAGTGTTACGCAACAGTGGGAAACCCCAGAGCACACCCACAACCTCCAAAGTACTGAAGAGCTGTGCTTATTTGGAAGAGTGAAAGAGCTACAATATTATACACAGTATTAATATACAGTGGTATCTCGGGTTAAGTACTTAATTCGTTCCGGAGGTCCGTTCTTAACCTGAAACTGTTCTTAAATTGAAGCACCACTTTAGCTAATGGGGCCTCCCGCTGCCGCTGCACCGCTGGAGCACAATTTCTGTTCTCATCCTGAAGCAAAGTTCTTAACCCAAGGTACTATTTCTGGGTTAGTGGAGTCTGTAACCTGAAGCGTATGCAATCTGAAGCATATGTAACCCGAGGTACCACTGTACTGCAGAAAGCATGTGCAAGGGATCTATAATACATAAAATCTTTAGGCCTACAGAACAGGAAGGCCCACTCCTTACCTTTTGTAACATACAAATAGAAGAAGTCACAGTACAGAATAGTCTGGACCACACCAGCAACGACAGCTATAAGGTCAAAGAATCCCTCAAAGTAGTAGCGCCAAATCCAGTTGATAAGGTACAAGGCACGGTACAAGCCCAAGAAGAAAAGATAGTGAGTAGTGATGGTTTCTGCCTCCCCAGTTTTACTGATCATAAAAAGTTGGGGGAGAATAGCAACAGACTCCAAGTAGATTGAGAAGGTCCACAAGATCTGAAAGAGCAAGACAAAAATGTCAAAGTGATACCATCACTTGGCAGCTTCCACGTCTAGTATGGGTCAATCCATATCAAGTGATCCAATTTTTTTACCTCATGCCATCCAATTATCTTAATATTCTGTACACTTGTTGAATGATCAAAACTAAGTTTAAATCTAAAATTTTAATTTTTTGTCTCATCTCATTTGTGAGTCATGAGGGGTTGAAATTTCAATAAATTGACAATTTTGCCCTACACAAAAACATTAAAAGCTCAACCCAGAATTGAGATACCTCAAACCTAAAAACAATGGACTTACTTTAAATTTTAAATTTAAGAATGTTGAGAGAGATGATGGGAATAACTTTGCTAATAACGAGTTCTCACTTGCAAACCCCACACATGTAATTTTTAAACATATTTGGGAAAAGACTGAATCATGTTGTCCTGGAGAGTAGCTTCTTAGCAAAATAATGGATATTCATAGGTAAACAAGAAGAATCTAAAACCTCTATAAACTTGATGGCAGGTGCAGGAAAGTCTGGTATGTAATATGATAGCGCAGTGACTTATATACAGGGGGGAAATTAGTAGTGGCTTGAAATAGTAAAAACCAAAGCAATACCTCTATGGAATTTTGTCCATGTTTTAAGTGTACTATCCTGAAATAGTATGTAGGGATACTTTTATTAGAAGTATATTATTTCACCTTGCAGCTAAAATAAATGCTCAAAACATCCTACAATTTGATGGACATATTTAAAAGCAATCAACTATGAAATAATGCTTTGCAATTATCTTTATACTGTGTTTTTTTGTTTAGCAACAGTACGCCCATTTGGTGTGTTTGTTTTCTTCTTTTGAAAACAAATGAATAAAAAGAATATGGGGCTGAGGCTTTCCTCTACAGGAAAGCAGAATAAAAATGTAGTAGGATATAAGGTGGGCAGTACTGATATATGAAAGTTTTCCTGTGCAATTCATGGATCAGCTAAAATATAAGATGTTGCCTATATTTTCCATTTTGCCTACTTTTTAACACACCCTTTACATAATTGTAGTTCTCCTTAAATTATCCAGATGGCACCAAAGACTTCTCAACTTCTATTTGAGGAACTTAAATTACATGAAGTGAAGGTCATAAGAGTCAGACCAATTTTTCAATGTTTTTGTTTAGTGCACTGAACACACCACAAATATTTGAATAACTAATTACGTTTACATAGTTAGGATTATGGTCACTGCGTTGTTCCTCAGATATAAAGTAAGTCCACCAACACACAATGGTATGAACTGGGATCACTGGATGTACTTCTAACTCCAATCCCTGTATTGCTTTGGTTTAAGATGGCAGAAGCGATGGTGGAGCCACCTTCTCCTGCACTCGGGATTAACACCCATTTGTGCCTGAAGATCAAACTGGGCTTGAATTTTGTTGTTGTTGTTGTTTAGTCGTTTAGTCGTGTCCGACTCTTCGTGACCCCATGGACCAGAGCACGCCAGGCACCTCTGTCCTCCACTACCTCCCGCAGTTTGGTCAAACTCATGCTGGTAACCTCGAAAACACTATCCATCCATCTCGTCCTCTGTCGCCCCCTTCTCCTTGTGCCCTCCATCTTTCCCAGCATCAGTGTCTTCTCCAGGGAGTCTTCTCTTCTCATGAGGTGGCCAAAGTACTGGAGCCTCAGCTTCACGTAGGCTTGAATTTTAGCATGTACCTATACATCTGCTCTCCACTACGTTTGGCTGAAATCAATCAGGCTCTCCTGAGTTGGAAGGAACCATGACGGTCATTCTAGTCCACCCCCTGCAATGAAAGAGTCTTTTTGCCCAACATGGGACTCGAACCTTCAGTTCTGAAATTAAGAGTTTTGTGCTCCACCGACTGAACTATCCCAGATTCTTCATGTACCTGCCCACTGAGCTGTCTGCGGCGTACTAAACCTAATTCTACTAGCACAGAGGTGCCAATGAGCTTTCACGTGAATAATTTTGGAGCCCATGGACTCATTAAACAAAAATCCTTGCCTAAATACAGATAAGCAATTTGCACCGAATCACACACAGATTTTGATAATGACATTTTACAAGCAAGGTTTTACAAGAAGTTGATTTCAAAATTCCTAAAGAATTTTGTTTTTAACCCTGGTTGGGATTTTTCAGCACTACATGGGAGCAGCCCACCAAAGCAAAATCTAAGCCAGCCAAACAGCTAGCGCCAGCTCTTTTAAGCCACTGGACCATGCACAAATACTATATCAAACAAACTGTGCAGCTTTGAGTGAAACATCAAGCTTACGATGCAGCATAAAGAACAAAGTGTTCTGCTTTATTTCACAGTTACCCAAGTTCTTCTTTACATTGTTTCAGAAGCCAATGCTTTATGAATAAACTAACCTCCAGGGGAGAGAAGTCATGATTGACAAGAAAAGACAGCCCACCAACTGGAACCACAAGGAACTCCACTCTGAATGTATCATGGTTTCCATCATAGGTAGCCTTAAATTTCATGTAGATCAGGTAGACTGTGGCATACGAGCAGGCAACGTAGATAAGCTGAAAGGAAAAGACCCAGATGAGTTATCAGGCTTTTAGTCTGTTTCCTCCATAAAAAGCACTTTATACATACAACAAGGAACAATGTTGACCATTGAAGCATGGTCCCCCTTCCTGCTCCCATTTGCTCAATTACATTCATCAACATATTGCACCGTCTACAACAGGAAAGCTATTATTCATTTTCTGGGGACCGGCTCTTTTTTAACATAGAATCTTTGATTTGATTTGATTTGATTTATTACGGCCATTGGCCCATATCTAAAACAATACATCAAAATTTATCCATAAACAAACAATTTAAACAGTTCCAAGTTAAAACACCCATAAAAAACCAATTTTACTTCAATTAAGTAAACACTATATACAATAAGCTCCCTCTGTGTCAACCGCAATTCAAATCCCTCGGATTTTGGGCGATATGCGTCTTAGTTCTGGCACTTATTGATGGTTCTTAAGTTTGGCTAAGCTGTCAGAGTCATACAGTTTTTAACATAGAAAACGGTTACCTGGAACATAAGGAAGTACAGTTCCCACCCCCTCCCATACCTACCAACTGATTGATTTGGGTTCCTTCAGAAGTTTAAGGGAAGTGGGATCTTTGCCTCAAGTTTTAATGGCTTGAAAGCAACATAAATCTTGTCAATTCTAATGCTGCAGCTTCAACTATAGATGCTTAAGTTGTAAAATCTCATTGATTCTGTCCCCCTACTTACTGCAGCTGGAGCATTTGTGTGAGAAAAGGTGCAACTACAGTAAACCTGCAACATGTGCTCGCTTTACTGCAGTGGCTTTTCCCATACAATCTTTCTGCAATTTTCTATAGGTTCCAAAATCAGTCATTGATAAAGAAACAATAATAATACAGGGCATTCCAAACTGTGTGTCGTGATATGTTGGTGTGTTGGCTGCAGTATGTAGGTATGTTGTGCGAACGATCCCTGTGTTCCTCCTGGGGCTGGAAAGGGGTTCGTTTACTAACTAAAACTGAATTACTATGTCATGAAATGATGCATGTCTAAAAAGTGTGTCACCAACATGGAAAGTTAAAACGTTATGGCCATTGCCTGAGGAAATCAATCATTTATTAAATCTGCATATGACTAAAAGTGACAGTTCTGAAGCAAGAACCACTTCTTAGAAACATTTTACCCTAAAATAGTGATTGCCACGTGGAGTTTATAAATGCCTGTTACTTTAAAATTTAAAGCTGTGGTTTGTGGGCCACCAGTGATTCATTCAGATTGATCTGTGATATATCTGTGGAGTTGTTGTGGATGTATGGTGGCACATCTATTGTATTAAATATTCATATTGATTTTTATTGCAACTTTTATTTCTTATATCACATTTTATTGTATTGCAGTTTGTAACCTTTCTACTTACTGGGAGCAACAGGAAGCAGTGCCTATTCCAGGCATAGGCAAACTCGGCCCTCCAGATTTTTTGGGACTACAACTCCCATCATCCCTGACCACTGGTCCTGTTAGCTAAGGATCATGAGAGTTACAGTCCCAAAACATCTGGAGGGCCGAGTTTGCCTATGCCTGGATTCCATCTCCTGCTTCCTGCTCCTGAGCTGGTTTTGTGTTAGCTGGCCATTAGAAGAACTACCATTTAAGAATTGGTGCTTGAGTTTGCCCTTTTCCTCTTTACTCCCTGTCCCTTTCCCCTTGTTCTTTAGATTGTAAGCTGACAGGGCAGGAAATGCCTTGTTTTGATTGATTGTATGTCAAGCACTCCGAGAGTCTTTTCGGCTAAAGCCTGGGGTACAAATACTCTAAATAAATGGATTAAAAATAAATCTAAAACCATACAACACCTGCACAGCACATTACAATAGCTACAGCAGCCCCACCCCAAAAAAGCATTGTGGTCTGCCAAGTCAGACCCTTGGGATTTTCAAGTGGTCCATGGGAGGGGAAATTTTAGGAACCGTTGGTATCAAGCATGGGTAGGCAAACTAAGGCCCGGGGGCCAGATCCGGCCTAATCGCCTTCTAAATCTGGCCTGCGGACGGTCTGGGAATCAGCGTGTTTTTATATGAGTAGAATGTGTGCTTTTATTTAAAATGCATCTCTGAGTTATTTGTGGGGCATAGGAATTCGTTCATCCCCCCCCCAAATAAATATAGTCCGGCCCCCCACAAGATCTGAGGAACAGTGGACCGGCCCCCTGCTGAAAAAGTTTGCTGACCCCTGGTATAAAGTGTCCACTCTCAGGAGTTTCATTACACCACTGTAGTGAATATTTTAACTGATGCTGCTCTCTTTATGACTACTGAGGAGAAGAGCAACCAATCTGAAATAATGGCCTGGCAACCAGGGCCAGGTAGCAGCAGATGTCATGGTCTCTCAGGGACAGGCACCACTTCAGCTAGGCAGCCTGCAGCTCCTGGTTCTTCCAGGTGACATGGATAGATTAGATTGGAAGTGGGTTCAGATCACTATCTGAATTATACACATATTCTGCTTTAGTATATTTGAAGAGTACCGTATTTTTTGCCCTATAGGGCGCACCGGCCCATAAGGCGCACTTATTTTTTTTGGGGGGGGGGGGGATAAAGAAAAAAAATTATTTCCCCTCCAAGCCCCAAAGAGCAAAGAAGCCATGACAGCAAGCGGGATGGATTCCCGCCAGGCCCCGCAGGCTTGCGGATAGCTTCCTGAAGCCTGGAGAGCGAGAGGGAGGGGTCGGTGTGCACCGACCCCTCTCGCTTTCCAGGCTTCAGCGAAAGCCTGCATTCGCCCCATAGGACGCACACACATTTCCCCTTCATTTTTGGAGGGGAAAAAGTGTGTCCTATAGGGCGAAAAATACGGTACTTCATTGGTAGTGGGTTTGTTAACACAAGAGGCATCCAACATAGTTAATGAGCCTACAGTTAAAGAGGCAGCTCCCAGCTTCTGTTTTCAGGGCTTCATCCAGAAGAGGTTACCTTGAGGAAACTGGGCTTCATTACGTTCATGATAAAAATACTGTACACAGACTTAATTATCAAGTGGAGAAGGCCGAGGCTAAGAAAAATTAAATGACTTGCTGAAGGTCACACAAAATGGTGTCAGATGTGGAATCCAGGTCACTGCCTAACTAACTAGGCCACAGCAACCCCAGGCGAAATGTTCAAGGTTCTCCGCTCACCATCTGTAAGCATATTCTCAGGGAACTAATACTTAGAACACTTTAGCAAGCGGAACCTAGTTTCCATGCATTGCAGCACACAGAAAGGACAGCATGAGTCACCATCCCAGAGGTGGTATTCAAGTAGCCAATGAGTCACAGAAAAATCCCTAGAAAGCAGTGGCCAGGATGCCAACAACAATAACATCTGGAAAGTGCAAAAGCCAGGGCTAGCCTGGAGAAAACTCACCAATAATAACTGGTTATGATTATTAAGATAAAAAAGAAACATGGTTTGGATAAAGCTACACTTGGGGGAAAAGACATAAATTCAAAGCAGTCCGACTAGCAGAGAAAATTAAGAGATGCTGGTTAATTTTACAGGTGAGGGGTCTGATCAGGCAATGGGGTTCTGTAGTCAATTTGACGTTTTGTGGGCCTGATGGGAGTGGGAGTCCACAACATTTAGAGGGCCACAAGATCCCACCCTTAGGCTAAACCAATTTCTTCACTGGATTTGCTAGCTGCCTTTCATTGAAATGATTGTAGGATGGCACACAATATCTTCATACAAAAACACAATGAATTATAATAATAAAAGAACACAATATTAAAATCCAAACATTGGCAGAATTTCAAGCAACAGTAACAGTGCATCAGGGCCTGATCAATTCAGTTACTTGCAAACGCTTGCACAAAAGAGGCTTCAGACTACAGCAAAAGCTACAAACAAGGAAGCAAACTGAACCTCCTGGGGTTGCCAAGGTTGTTCATTGCCAATTCTCTTGTGCCTCCTTTTGGCATTTGCACATACACTTGCATAAGCAAGCAAAGCACACACAGATATCTGGGTGTCACTCCCCCTGTCCCTGGGTCCACAGATGAGAAAAGGGCAGGCTATAGAAAAGATGGCACTGCCAATTCCATAGCCTCCCAGGATTTCAAGCTGCATCCCCATCATAAGTCGGGTAGACACTGGGTCTTCTTTACCTTCTCCTGTCATTATGGTGGTTCTACTCCGCCAAAGAATCACAAGAGGATAATTATTTGGGGTTGGATCCAGACTTAGTCAGGCTTGGAGTAGACCCACGGCAATCAATGGAGCTTATGTTAGTCATGACAAGCTTGCCCCATTGATGGGTCTACTCTAAACAATTCTAAGTTTGGAGCCAACCTTTCATCAGTAAAATGGCAGGTTCATATTTTTGTCTTTACAGACTACACAACTGGCTAATAGCAATAGTTCTGAACGAACATTCGAAATAGTCTGGTTGTGACTAAGCACAGCTCCATAAACATTTCAGTATCATTTACTTCCAAGTAATTGAACTTGAAGGATTTGTGGATTCTTTGCACATTATGAATAGAAAAAAAGCTGGGCAAACAGTTTTCTGGTAGACCAAATTAAAACGAGAATCAGATAGAGGATCAGCCCTTATTCTAGGGCTCACAGACATGAAGAAAGCTGTGTGAACAAGATGCAATTATGACCATTGTGTTTCCCTGACTAGACAGGGAATTTTTGACAGTTCTAAGGAAAACGAATTAAGTACAGATAAGCACTCCTCATTAGTAGCAACAAGCATTCAATGGCAGTTTGAGACAAGCTTCTAATCACTTTTTTATTCTCTCACGCTCTCATATGGGGTGATCCCAAAACCAAGGGACAAATCAGATCTACACATCTGTTTAACACCAGTGATTCTGCAGCACCAAGTGCTCCCATACCCCTCACTGGACCTGCTTTTTTATCTTTTTGTATTACACGTGTAACTCTTTACACCAAGTCATTTTACTCAGCTCACAATTCATATAAATATTTCATAACACAACCAGCATACATTGGGATCCAATAAAAATTCAGCTGCTTGAGAGAGCATATATATCAGCACAAGTAGGCCAAACTCATCCTCAAGCCCAACCAATACTCATCCCCTTCATGTATTTGTAGTCAGAATTGCAGAAGCAAACATTCACATTAATATCAAAATGGAAGTCCACTAGAAACCCAGCCTTGAAAGTGGGTTTGGCTCAAGGTTGGCTTTCTCCACCACGCTCTCCCAGCAAAGCGCCCAGTCAGGATTGCTGCATGCCTGCTTGTGGAGCAGCTGGTGTATTGAACTTATGGAGGTTGACTAAAAGAGCTGTAAAAGGGTCATGTGCATCCAATTAAGGCAGGTCCGTTTGAGCACGTTGTCATTCATTCAAGGCATCCCTGCTACAACACAGATTTTACCATCTTAAGAATTTGTTTCCATTTTAAAAGTATAACCTGGGGGAGGGGGCATAAGGAGTGCTTCAAGGAGACACAAGGCAGAGTTCTACTGCTGTTCCAAACACCGTTCCCACTCCCCTCTAACTTGACTGTCATCCCCATCATCTTATGTCTTCTTTCATTTCTTGACAAGAAAGTGAAGAAACCTAAAGCCAGTTTTGCAAAGCAAATAGATACTAATTAGCAAGACACTTTCTCTGAGGACCCTATACATTTCATGAACCTTTTCTTTTTCTACACCAAAGGCACTGGGATGATCACATATATACACACCTAGTTCTTCTGCTCCAAAACTAAGAAACCCCTCAAGCAAGGAAGGTGAAGAGTCAGACAGGGGTGGCACATCCCATTTCACTGCTTAAGGCAAAATGCGAAATGCCACTCTGCCCTGCCGCTGCCACCTTGCACTGCCTGCCTCACCACCTCCACGCCAATATTGGGTGAGATCTTGCATGCTCTGCAAGATCTCAAACCATTTTGATCTTGCCCAAAACCAGCACCAGTGCTGGTTGTGGTGGGGCAGGTGAGGCACCTGTAGGGGCACCGCCTTGGGGGCTCCCACTGCCTGAGGCAGCAGCCTCACCCCACCTAAGGGCTGCATCAGCCCTAGAGTCAGGCATACTCCAGGGACACAAAATAGTCCCTGGCTTTGTTGCTGGTCAGATACTTTGTAGGAATTTTAAAGAACATAGTCATAGCAATAATAAAACTGGGGGAACCTGATCAAGCTGTGGGAGGACAAACTAATTTGTGGCCATCAGGCAATGCAGCAAACTGCCTCAAGAGCTGACTTCAACCCTTTCAGGCAAAACAGTTTATTCATGTGTAAAACAGAGAAAGCTGTCATCTAGGAGGGAAACTCGTATGACTCAAGACACTGCAGATGACTGGTGATACAAAGGTAATTTATTGTGGCATTTGCAAACCTGCTTCTTCCCTACGGCTGCAACACAGTGGTTGTTGTTTTTTTAATCAGCAGACCCACATTAACTTTAACATGAACAGGGAGAAGCACATTTGAATTTTCTTTCAGCCTTTGCTCGAAATCACTATGGAGGTGAATTCATTAAGAGGTATGTGGAGAAAATTCAGTAGATTGATGTGCTCTAGATTCACTAACCCCTCTTGCATATTGAATGTATCATACCTTCATAGAAGTGTTATAAAAAGAAATGAATGAAGTGAAGAGATCCAGGTAACGAGTGGTGAACACCAGTGCAAAGAGAAGCTGGCTTTTCCCAGATATACCTAAAGGAATAAAAAGAAGTCGTGTGAGAAAGGGTATTAAAAAACCCAAGCCATGTGAATTATCTTAGTTCAAACACCAAGATTCACTGCACACCCACCGCTGCATTGCAACAGAACCTTATGGTAATCTGAGCTCCAGATGCAAAACCCAGAAGTTTCATATATTGCCATCTATTGCTAGCAATTTTCTGCTACTTACCTCTTTTGCTACTATTCAGCTTTTTATTCATAACCAACAATGTACCAGGCACCATACTGAACAGGTCAAATCATAAACCCTCTGCATAAGAGCAAAAGGAAGATTTATCAGAAAAGAAGCTAGGTTCACTGAATACTAGTCACTGGAGAGCAACAACAACAAAATGCAACAATGATGAGAACTAGGGATAGTCCTATGGACCGCTGTCAGTCACAGAATGTCTTCCTATGCTCTGCCCCAGAAATGGTTCAGTATCACTGATCAGGAATCAACGTGTATCTAAGCAGACCATCAGCTGGTTGTGGGCATTTTGCCTACTCCGAAAGTTGTTGAGCTTTTTTTTTACACAAACCACAATATTATTGGACTTTTCAATGTCAATTCCGCATTTGAAATCCCAGTAATGTCTGGGGAAATCCAGATGTATGGCACATGTATGCCATTTCAGTTTATTATTTTTATGTCAGCCAGAGAGAGGGCATCCCAGTGCTGTGTCCTTAGCAGCCTTGGAAACCTAAACTATGGCTGGAAAGATGTGAGATCCTCTCTTCCAGGTGAGTGACTAAAGAAAGCAGCTGGGTCTGTATCAGCCTCTATGTTCATAAGACTCAATTCCACTCCCAAACTAATGGAAGATGCCATATCATCACTTGGACCCCCACCTTTCACTCAAACCCTTCTGTTATTAAATAAGCATACAGTCAATTACCATCCCAGCCCAGTTCCTAGGGTCTTCCTTCTACCCAACTCCCATCATGGTCACAATGAGGCTATCTAACCTTGGCAGGGTCCACTACCAGATCTGATCCCAAACTGTGAGAAATTCCCACTGAAACATCCTCCATGCCCTATACCTGAAGAACCATTTGCATTGAGAGTCCCTCAGGCAGGACACAGTGGGTTATAACACAACACTAGACATCAATCTAGAGCACATTTACATGCTTCCCATCTCCCACTGTTTACAATTGAAACTCTGATGGGCAAGTCATTTTAAAAAACTCACTACAGTAAGTTCAGAGACCACATTTTTATAAAGATTGTCTCACTTCATGTAAAATAGGTGTTGATTACAATACATGCCTCATTACATTGTCATAATGTGGCATCACGTGCCTATTTATTAGCTCTGCTCCATTCAGCTCAATGTGAACAAAGCAAGCGACAGAGGCTGCATTATTCAGCAACATAAAACAAAAGCATGGATGCACTCTATGACTCAGCCTATTTTGTCATGCTATTTTGTCAAGACAACTGTTTAGATACCACCTTTCTGCCAATGCATTCAAAAAATGGTATACAATCCAATATACTTGTTACAAATGGAAAAGGGAATGAAAACCAGGTATAGAGTGTCATGTAATTGTTGTAATGACCAGACTCAATGGCCACCAAGGGAGAAAGTTCTGAGGTGGAAGGAGTCAAACAGCAATTGGTGTTGGCTGAGCTAACTGACCTTGCAGTCTCTGGTTTTTCCCTCTGATGAGAAAGGGTGCTGGTGGAAGCATGAGAATTAGATGTCCAATACTAAGGAAGAAGTGTTCAACAACCAAAAACTTACCACAGGTCCCAATTTTTAAGTTACAGTGGTACCTCTTGTTGCAAACGGTATCTGTTCCAGAGGTCCAGCTGCATCCCGAGGAATTTGCAACCAGAGGACCACTTCTGCGCATGCGACGAAACCCAGAAAAATACTTCCGGGTTTGCCGCATTCACATCCCGAGGATTACGTATCCAGAGAGATACGTAAGCGGAGGTACACTCTTAGAGCCCTCTTGTTGCTTATAAGTACTCTTAGTGCCAGATACATTCCTTTTATTTCAGTAGCCCCATGACAATTCATATTTGTATCATTTTAATTCATTACAATATCAGATGTATTTTATTCAAAAGGGAAGTAGATGGTAATAATATTCCCTGTTATAATTGTTTTTCTTAACCACTTTCCTGTGAAATGTCAGAATGTCATCTACTCTCCCTCTCTCATCTTGATGCAATTGTTTTCTGTCGATCAACATTGTTTATTCAAAAAGAAATTGTGTTAAAGAATAAGCAAATATCTTTGTTTTGAACATTAGCTTTTAAAGCCTTAAATTTGGAAGGCTGCGTATCTCTGCTGGTTGCCAGCATTCTCTAGAAGTAACACACTTAGACTCAATGTAACTATTTCACATTACACTAACAATGCTGGTGCTAAAATTTTTTTTCTTGTCAGTCTTAGGAAGTGATAACAACTAAGCCCCTAGAAGAATAAGCTATTCTGGTTATGAAATTTTTTGCATTAATTGATTTGCAAAGGATCCCTACCCAAACATGACCTCACTACATATACTCTGCTGGCTTCCACCAACCTTCCCCCTTTGCAAGGACACCTTGAAGCAGGGGTAGTCAACATGGTGCCCTTCAGATGTTGCTGGATTTCCAACTCCCATCATTTCTGACCATTGTCTATGCCAGTGTTTCCCAACCCTGGGCCTCCAGCTGTTTTTGGACTACAACTCCCATCATCCCTAGCTAGCAAGACCAGTGGTCAGGGATGATGGGAATTGTAGTTCAAAAACAGCTGGAGGCCCAAGGTTGGGAAACACTGGTCTATGCTGCCTGAGGCTGATGGGAGCTGTGGTCCAAACAACTTCTGGATGACACCACACTGGTTATCCCTGCTCTGGGGCAAAATAGTAGTCAGAAAAGGTACAACCAATTGTCCCAATGATGCTTTGCTCAAAGGCACAAGATGCTGTCTCCCAACTACCCAGATCTCACTTGCTCCTCATGGGCTTACTAGTGTTGAATACACTATGAATACATAGTGTTATAGGCATTCAAAATAAATATACAATAAGCTGTATGCAGGCTAGGATAGTACATGGAACAAAGTTTAACAATGAATGGGTCATACTCTAATAGCTATTTAATTTAATAGCTATTAACGTGCTATTAAAACAGGTGCCTTTGCATATATAACTGCTCAATCCTTATCAAAAAGTGAAGTTTCAGTTCATTGAGGTTTACTCCCAAGCACACATGTATACATGATTGCAGCCAGTTTACAATATTTATATAAGTTTATATAAGCTTACTAAGGACTAAGCCGCCCTGTTGTCAACTAGCCTTACTTTTACGTAAGCATGCCATAGCATCAAGCTGTAGGAATAATAAGACTGCTTGGTTACAAAACAGAAATACATATAAAGTTAATGAATTCTAACTCTAAACAGTTCTGCATAGGAGGGGACTCATGCTTTATTCAAACTCTGGCTACTTCTCTATACAATAACTCCAGTCTGCAGCTTTAAAAAGAGCTCTATTAAATTCCCAGGAATTAGTCAACTGTGAATGATGCATTTTGCCACCAGATAGCATTTCCTCTGCCTTACAAAGTTCACAGTTCAAAATCTACTTGGCTTGATCATAAAGACTACAAACAAAATTACCAACACAGAATCAGTCTAGAATAGTATTTAGACATAAGAACACAGTTCAAAGTCAAACCATCAATGCAGGATAAACAAGGACTGTGTGTCTAAGTGAAATGTACTGAATAGCTTCAGCAGCTTAAAAAACTTGTGACTGAGCTTGCTTTCCTTTCCTCCCTTCCTTTTCCCTCACCTGTCATGTCGTGTCTTTTTAGACTGTGAGCCTAAGGGCGTGCCATCTTAAAGCAACTTACAAAAATCTATTCCGAGACTAAAATCAGGGTGTAAATGCTGTAAACAAACAGGCACACAGAAGCATCAGAGTGAGTAAATTCTCATTTCTAGGTTAAAATAACAAAAATCTATCTTCAAAATAAGAGATTAAAACAGCCCTTTTGGGAACAAGTTTTGCAACATAACCAGGGATTTCTTCAGTTGAATAAGTTTCTATTGAGGAAATGACATGGGGGTGCAGCAAGAATACAACTGATCTCTCTCTTCCAGGCAGCTCTGTTCACCACACCTTCTGTTAGCTGCCACGTCAGACTAGGCCAGGAATCCCAATTGAGCGCCTATTCTCCCTAGCCTTGATTCAGTCATTTGCTTCCAATTTTCAAATGCAGCTGGCAATGCAAGTAAAAGAGCTTGCCAAGCTCTCAGATCAAGTCGGATCACAGGTTAACCCCTTCAGTTGCAAATAAATAAAGGGTCTAGCATGAAAGTCTATAAACAGAGGTTCCAGGATTCAGAAGAACAACCTTGGAACTTGCAAATTATGCATAAAAACCTGCTGTTTCTGCAAAGCACTCAGAGAAAGCACAATTTAGGCTATGTCATATTTCTTTGATTTCAGAACTACTGCAAAAAGACAATGCATCTTGATTAGGATGGTAAAACTCATTTTTTCCTGCAAGTCCAGAATCTGAAAGGGAAGTTCTAGCCTCAGGAAAGCGAACTACCATCCCCTTTGCTTTAAGTCCATTCATTCTATTTGTGCACAACTGCCTCAAAATAAATACGATGTCTGAATGGTAGGACGGAGAGAGAAAAAGTCATACTTCCTGCAGCTCCCTTCACACTGTACCATGATTTTGCTTGGGCTTGAATGCTGCACCAGGAATTTTCTTTCACCTACTACATCATTGTGTGCTAAGAAGGCACTTAATCTGTTCATTCATCTCATTTATATTACTGTGCTCTTCTTGAAGCAAGAAAGAGATGACAAAGTTATTTGCCCTGAATATTCATCATTATGGAGGAGTCAGCAAATCAGGTTGCCTAGATTTTGACTCATTGCAAGTCTCTACTGACTTAGCTTCAATTTCACTAGCACTATGAAATCTCTCTACCTACAACACTATTAAAAGAAAACAAAAACCCCAAACCATTTCTGCACTTAAGTTCACTCCAATGGGATCTTCATCAACAAATATATCCCAAACAGAATACATATAATGAACATAAAGCCCTGTTTTCAGGATACCCTTTCAAAGATATTCATAGAGTTGTCCTACCCTCCCCTTTTTGAAAGACAGTGACCGTAACCTCTATTCTTTAGACTTCACATCTTCCTGTGCAGTATAGGCTTACCAACTCTTTATTTGATGCAACTGCAGGAGTGGCCCCCAATCAATATATTTTATCACATTTTACATTCTTCCTCCAAGGAACTCAGGAGCAAAACACATGATCTCCCACATCCTTACCCTAGCAACAACCCTGTGAAGGCAGTTACGGTTCAGAGAGGTCTAAGGTCACCTGACAACCTCCACCAGGAATTTGAACCTGGGTGTACCTGACCCTAGTTCAACACTCTAGCACTGAACTACACTGACCCCACTTTGCAGTACCCCACAAGTTTTCTCTAGCAGAACTCCACTTACTGCAATATCCCATAACCTTTAAAAGAAGTCACTTCTCAGATCTCCCCCTTTAGAGGTAGAAGGCATGGCAGGAATACCGTCCCCAAATCAGCATCACACCCACCCCCAAGCATTCTATGAGCTTCCACAATTACTCCAAACACAAGAGTAAGTGGGGGAACCCACCACTCCCCCCAAATGAGTACCCCCAAATTCCTAACCTGCTCCAGCCTCCCATAAGCTCCTCACTTACAAGAAATCTCCACCCCATCATCACCCACCCACCTCCACACCTCCAAAATTGCCCCTCATCTGAACTTCTTGCCCAAGTCGACAGACAGGAGACAGAATTTTTTTTGGGGGGGGGTAGGGTTGGAAATCGCTCCACCTCAACATCCCATAATCAACCAAGCTTGCTCCGCCAACACACACAGAGGAGAATACGGGGGCACCACCCATAAAGTAGGCACTCCCTCCTCAGTCAGGGTCCACCACAACTGAAGGAGGCGAACTACCCCCATAAAACAAGAGGGCATGGGGAGCACCCCATCCAAATCCCCCCCTCTACTGAAGACAAGCATAAAAAGGGGGTGACAAGAGGGACGCACCTTCCCCGCTCCCCACACCAAAGTCTCTGAAAGGAAACCCCATAGGGAGGAGAGAATCACACCCCCCAAAAAAAATCTGCACCCCAAATTTCCCCGCTCGTTTCGCAGTGTGACGAGGGAGCAGGACCACCAGTCCCCCCCACTCCCCCCCAGGCGAGGGGCCGAGGCGGGTCCTCCCCCCCCCAATGGCCGGTGGGTCGACGTCCCTCGCGCCGCCTCAGCCTCGCCAACCGCCCGCCGAGCCCGACGCACCGGCGCACGAGCGGGTCTTCCAGATCTTGAGGAGGAGGATGATGATGGCCGCCAGGTGGGAGAGGTCCCCGGTGAGGCGGAAGACGTTCATGGCGCCGGCGGCCGCGCTGGAGGAAGAGGAGGAGGAGGAGGAGAAGCGGGGAGAGGAGCCGGCGACCGGACCGAAGATGGCGAGAGCGCAGCGGACACCGAGCGACGTGGCCCGGGGACGTGGCCAGAGACAGCCAGCGCGGGCGCGGTGCACGCCGGGAGAAGTGGGGGGGGTGAGGGAAGGAAAGCGGAGAAGGCGGGGGGAAGAGAGGAAGAGCCACGCCCCCTTCTTTCCCTCACAGTCGATGGGCGGGGCTTGTGAGGGATCCTTTCCTACGCACGCGCACATTCTCCCTCCCGCCCCCACCGCGCATCCACGGAAACGGCGCACGACGGGTTTTTTCTTCTTCTTCTGCGCACGCGCGCACCTCTCCCACGCCGCAACACAAGACTCGCCCTCTGCCGTTCCGTCCTTAGAAGGTGGAGCTGCGCTTGCGCTGAATAGAGGAGCAAGAATTCTGGGCTTGTAGCGGGGGCGCGAGTGCGCCTGCGCCGTTTCGCCCGCTGGCCACAATAGCGGGTTTTAAAAAGTCGGTTCCAGACGTGCTGCCGCGTTTGATATCGGTTGCTAAACTCACATATGTTTTTGATTGACTGTCATTGCTCTGGCCTGGCGTTTTATTGCGTTATGAGCGCTCGGGCATTGTTTTAGGCTGAAGTCGAAATTGCGTTGAGTGTATTTTTTATACAGTATAGAAAAAGTGGTGTGCAAATATGTTTTTAAAAGTATTTTTTTAAAGTTGCTTTTCTGGGCAACAGCATCCGAAGCGGCTCAGGCCTGCTGTTATTTTTACTATAATTGTTCAGTTACATTGTAACTGTTAACAAGATGAATGCATAACAAAATTGACTTTAGAGTAGCAAAGTTTTTCTGCAGTTTGAAAAACAAAACAAAAAAGAATTGCACAGGGTCAAGTTATTATGGTACACATATTAGCTCAACTATAAAGTATTCATTCAATGATAAATATATATTTGTCACTTTTCACACAAAGCACAGTATAAATTATGTAAGTAGATCATTAGTGTAATTTATCATTAGACCATACACAACTTATCACAAGGTGGTAACTTATATTAACTAGAATCATAGAACTGTACAGTTGGAAGGAACCCCAAGGGTCATCTAGTCCAAACCCTTTGGAATGCAGGAATCTCAACTAAAGCATCCATGGCTGATGACCATCCAACCTCTGCTTAAAAACCTCCAAAGAAGGAGAGGCCACCACCTTCTGGAGAAGTCCATTCCCCTGTCAAACAGCTCTTACCGTCAGAAAGTTCTTCCTGATGTTTAGTTGAAATCTCTTTTCTTGTAACTTTAATCTATTGGTTCAGGTCCCACCCTCCAGAGCAGGAGAAAGCAAGCTTGCTCCATCTTCCATGTGACAGCCCCATAGCTATTTGAAGATGGATTATCATATCTCCTCTTTTCCAGGATAAACGTACCCAACTCCCTCAACTGTTCCTCATAAGGCTTGGTTTCCAGACCCTTGATCATACTGGTTGCTGTCCTTTCCACATTTCAATTCCTTCAAACTGATAATCTACTACTAGTGCATTTGCCCCAAAGTTCTGCCTTGACATCATTAGATGTTTAGAAAGTTGAGATAATTTTGATCTGTTTTAGTATTAATAAGTTTTGCTTGTTTTAAAGTAGGGTTGTTAATTTTTATTTCTCTTATTGTGAGCAGGCAGCAACTGTTTTAGGAGTGTGCGCGCGCATAATGCTGACCCCAGAAGTGGCTGGAACGGGGTGTGGGAACGGGGCAGGGAGGGAACAGGGTGGAACAAACTTAACACGCGCTCCACTGATGCGCACAGGGGTCAGGAATGCGCCCCCTATGCTAAACTGTTGTTGCCTGTTGTATGAATTTAAATAAATAAATTGGGCATGTCTGGCCCAATCTCTTCATACTTCCAGGTAACTGATTTAAAACACAGGTTTTTCAGCAAGAGGAGGCCTGATTAGACAATAAAATTTACTTTGTCTGCTGCCATTAGTAATTGCTATGAAGCATGGGAGTAGCCGGGATTTATTGGGGGGGGGGCAGAACCAAGGTATCTGTGATGCAGTTAAAACAAAAAAAATTCCTTCCAGTAGCACCTTAAAGACCAACTAAGTTAGTTCTTGGTATGAGCTTTCGTGTGCATGCACACTTCTTCAGATACACAGAAGTATCTGAAGAAGTGTGCATGCACACGAAAGCTCATACCAAGAACTAACTTAGTTGGTCTTTAAGGTGCTACTGGAAGGATTTTTTTTTGTTTTGACTATGGCAGACCAACACGGCTACCCATCTGTAACTGTGATGCAGTTGGTTAGTTAAGTACTGTATTTTTATTTATTTACTTGATTTGGGGGGGGGCAGCTGTTCCCCCTGCACCTCCTAGGCTATGCCCATGCTATGTAGTGCTTTTGTTATGAGTTGCTGTGTTTTTATTTAAGCCCCATCTGCACAGTGCAGTTAAAACAGTATTATACTACATTAAACAGTCATGGCTTTCCCCAAGGAATCCTGAGAACTGTAGTTTCTAACAGGTGCTGCATGTTGTTAAAGGTACCCCTGCCCATACGGGCCAGTCGTGTCCGACTCTAGGGTTGTGCGCCCATCTCACTTAAGAGGCCGGGGGCCAGCATTGTCCGGAGACACTTCCGGGTCACATGACCAGCGTTTACCTTCCCGCTAGAAAGCGGTACCTATTTATCTACTTGCACTTAAAGGTGCTTTCGAACTGCTAGGTGGGCAGGAGCTGGGACCGAAAGACGGGAGCTCACCCCGCCGCGGGGATTTGAACCGCCGACCATGCGATCGGCAAGCCCTAGGCACTAAGGTTTTACCCACAGCGCCACCCGCGTCCCATGCTGCATGTTGTTAGGAGGCTCCTATCCCTGTTCATAGACCTACGGTCTCCAGAATTTCCTGGGAAGAGGAATTTACTGTGCAGTCTATCAGTAGTAATGGGACAAACTCATTTGTTAAGTGTCCATGCTCCAGGGAGGGCTCTCAGCAGCTGGAGGCTCAGTGCAAGGAGGGAAAAGCCTTTTACAAAACACCCAAGAGAGCAGGGTTCAAGGTGCAATGAAGCCTCAACAGGGGAAGGTAGGGTTGCCATTTGTCCTCTTTTTCCAGGACGCATCGTCTTTTTCAGGTGTAAAATTTCTTTCCGGATGGATTTTTTAAAAATTTGCCAAATTGTCACTGGCTATACTTTCTCGATGAGACATAGACATAACTGGTGGTTAAAGACTTGCTTTCCTCCTCCTGCCCCGCCCCCAGCAATATATCACAACTTCTATTGCCTTCATATAGTAAAGGTAAAGGTACCCCTGCCCGTACGGGCCAGTCTTGACAGACTCTGGGGTTGTGCGCTCATCTCACTCAAGAGGCCGGGGGCCAGCGCTGTCCGCAGACACTTCCGGGTCACGTGGCCAGCGTGACAAGCTGCATCTGGTGAGCCAGCACAGCACACGGAACGCCGTTTACCTTCCCGCTGGTAAGCGGTCCCTATTTATCTACTTGCACCCGGGGGTGCTTTCGAACTGCTAGGTTGGCAGGCGCTGGGACCGAGCAGCGGGAGCGCACCCCGCCGCAGGGATTTGAACCGCCGACCTTTCGATCGGCAAGCCCTAGGCGCTGAGGCTTTTACCCACAGCGCCACCCGCGTCCCTTCTTCATATAGTAGGGGTATTTAAAATGAGAGTCGTCATAGCGTCCTCTTCTTTGCTCTTCAAAATATGGCAACCCGAAATTGGTTATCACGTGGGGGGGACGGTTTATATTCTCATGTTCTTTTGGAAAAACCAGGACAAGAGAGCATTAGCCTTTTCCTCCGGATGTTCCCCAATGAATGGTATTCACAGAGAGGTATACAGACAGATGGATGCCAACAACAACACAATCTCTGAACCTGGAGGAAGCATGTCACCATCCATGATTATTAACCATTCTCCGCTCCCTCCTCATTCTGTCTCTCTGCAACATGCGCTGCAGCTCCTAGCAACAAGCCTTGAGTGGTGGTGGATGGTAAATGACAGGAATGCAAGGAGATTAGCAATGGGCGGGGGAAAAGCAGCACCTGTCCAATTTTTATTTTCCGATTCCAGCAGTGTCTCCACAACAGATGTGGAACATAAATCTATATAATGTTTTTTTAAAAAAACAACAAACAAACACCAAGGAATCCATAGTTTTAAACTAGGCATTCTAGTTTAGTGGAAGGAGCAAATGCAAAGGGCATAAAGCTGGGATCGCCAACCAGGGCCGTCTTTACCCGGGGGTGCAAGGGATGCGGGGCACCCGGGCGCCGAATTCGGGGGGGGCGCCAAATGTATACCCACTGTATACCAGTCCCTCTCGATCGGCGGCAGTGAAAAGCAATGGAGCGAAAGTCCCTGCCCCCCTCCTCTGTCACTCTGTTACTCCATAATGTGAAATATTACTGACGAGTCAGGAAACAAAAGCAGGTTTTTCCGCTGCGTTGTCGTTACAGGTGAGCGATTTCCCCCCCCCCCAAAAAAAGCTCAAGAACTTTGAGTTCACCCCCCTAAAAAAAGGTCAACAACATTGGCTGTCCCCCTCCCCAAAAAAGCTCAATAAAAGTTAATTAAACTAAATTTGAGGGCGCTGGGCGGATCTTTGCACCCCGGCGGCACATTTGCTAAAGACAGTTCTGTTGCGAACCCAGTGCCCACAATCACCATGGTGCCTGCAGGGCTTTCACCGGAGGTGTCTTATCCCCTCTAGAAAGTAAATAATAAGGCAAAATGTGCAAGAACCTTCTAAGCAATTTCTGTGAAATGAGAGTGGGTATGATGTGGTCACCTTGTGTACCCCCCCCCCGCCAGGTTTGAGGATTGCACCCCGCTGCTATTAGACAGCAAGGCCGGCTCACCCATGAGGCAAGGTGAGACAACTGCCTCAGACAACAGGATCCACAGGGGCAGCAGATCCTGATGCAGATCTTTATTCCCACTTTGCTCCTGGTGTCAATCTCCACTCCCCCACTCCT